AATTAAAAGTTTCAAAACGGGAGGACGGGTAACTGGGTGACAGGCATTGAGGGCACGGAGGGGATGAGCACTGGGTGTTATACTACATTTTGGAAAATTGAATTTAAATTGAAAAAAGTTTCAAAATGGACTAAGCGAAGGTACGATAAAATCTGATTTTCTCATTTTAAATTTCCCTAAAGATAACTGTTTAGCAGACTACACAGCTCTTGGGTCAAATCTGACCAGCCACAAGTTTTTATATGTCTGTGAGCTAACAAAATTTTTCACTTTTAAATATATAATTTTGAATGATTGGAGAAAATCAAAAGAAGAATATTTTACGACATAAGAAAATCATATGTCTCAAATTTCAGTGTCAACAAAGTTTTGTGGGAACTCTGCCAAGCTGATTCATTCACGTTTATCTATGGTTGTTTTGTTACAGAGTTCAGAAGTTGCAAAAGAGGGACACCTGGGGGCTCTGCAGTTGAGCGTCTGCCTTCGGCCCAGGGTGTGACCCTGGGGTCCCAGGTTCGAGTTCCGCGTCGGGCTCCCTGCATGGAGCCTGCTTCTCCCTCTGCCTGTGTCTCTGTCTCTCATGAATAAATAAATAAATCTTTAAAAAAAGAAGTTGCAAAAGAGACCCTGCTACATGTACATTTCCTCCATATATTTTTATCTGATACTTTTGTGTCTTTATCTTTACACATTTATTTGGCACATTGCTTATTAAAGACCTTTGATAAAGGCAAAATGTCTAAAATGCACATTTCCTTTCTTTAGATAACATGATTCTTTTATCACTTTGAGAATTTACTGTAATCTGGCTAGATCATTTATTGGTGAATTCTCAATTTCAGTATATTTGAGTCCGTCTTTTGGGAAATATGAATTGCTGAGGGATGGATAGCAATGTGATGGCCAGTATTCTGGTATGTGAGTGAGGGAGAAACCCTGAAACACCTCACATTTGTTTAGAATATAGTTTGAATTGCTTGATCTTTTGGTACGAAGCCCACTCATGTTCTGTGCTGTCTTCAAATCTAGAAGTCCTTTGCTTTACACTTCCTGGGAAATAAATTTCAAATATGTGGTGTGGGAGAAGCAGTCATCCAGCATTACCATGTGGGGGAACAAAGGGAAGCAGAATGTCATCCCAAAATATGCCTCCTTCACATAAAAAGTATTTTGAGGTAAAGGCAATTAAGAAATAACAAACCCAGAAAAAGCTCTCTTTTTTTGCCTAAAGAAATAAATTCTTTTCCTGGAGACAGATTTTTTTTTAAAGATTTTATTTATTTATTCATGAAAGACACACAGAGAGAGGCCGAGACCCAGGCAGAGGGAGAAGCAGGCTCCCTACGGGAGCGATCCAGGACCTGGGTATGCCTGGCAAGGCATCGCGAACTGCTGGGCCACCCAGGGATCCCCCTGGAGACAGATTCTTATTAGCCCAGAGATGGCACTAGAAAAATCTGCAAATACAGCTTACTCCATTAGTGTTTCACGACGTATATTTACCTTCTCTTAGTTTGCCACGTGGGAGCCTAAAACTGCTTTCCTCTGTCTGCCCATTTCTCTGTAAATTTACTGTTGTTTGTGAGGATGCTATATAAGCTGGAATTCCAAACGGCCTTTTCAAGTTTCTTTTATTTTAGGTTTCTTCCATGTGTTGCGCACTGCACACATTAATATAATGTTTTTTTTCCCCCCTCTGGTCAATCTGTCTTTTTGTTTGAGTCCCAGATGAAAACCAGAGATGGGCGGAAGTAAAGCTTTGACTTCCCTACAGAAGGTTCCAGGCTGAAATTGCATCTTTGCAAGCAATTCTTGGAAGTTGTTAGCTCATTAATCACAAAATTAACGTGGCTCAAATAAACTATAAATTAATTTCTCTTTCAAGAAGCCATGTCCTCAGATAAACAACACAGGAATTGCATATAACTTGGACATGCATCAGGAGGATTTGCTGTAACTCGTTGCCCTCCACTTTCCACTTTGTAGTTAATGACAAACAACACTGTGATATTTTCCAGCTCCTTCCTACAAAGAGCTGAAGGTCACGTCTCCCTATTTTGAACCTAAGGTGGCCTTAGAATCACATAAACTCTCATAGCTGTGTCCTCCCATCCCAAGGTCTTCATAATTATTTTTATTTCAGTTGCCTTTACTTTATCAAAGAGGATCACATATAGAATCCAAATAATTTATGTCCACACACCCCACAAGGAGGTAAAGCTTAACTCCCCATTCCTTAAGAGGAAGCTACACTTAGTGATTTGCTTTCCAAGAGAACAGTATGAAAAGAGAGAAAAAGTCACTCTAGAGAGGAAAACGCTGATACGCACTACCTTAGCCAGGTGACAAAGGTTAACGTTTTCATTTCTTTCTGATTAAATGGGGAGTGTCTCCTGGACCCGCAGGACTGCTGGCCACTGTGGCTGTAGGGGCTAAGTCAAGTATATGGCCCTTTCAGGATCTTTGGGGGTGCAGATGGAGTGTTTCCTGCTTAGTCCCTGTGTCAGCAGAACAATTGATGAACTGCTCCTGGGGCAGGCTGGAACCCTGTTGCAGAACTACTCAGAATCTACAGTCTGACCCAGTTTGGTGGGCTCATCTCCAGGGGCCCTCAGACTCTGGCCGGGAGGGACTCGAGCTGGTTTGGCAGCTCCTTTGGGTCCACAGCCAAGTGGCGGTCTGCATGCCTCTTAATCAACCCGTGGATGGACATGATTCCCTCTGAGTGCTCTGTCATATGGTACTGGTCACAGGGTCAAGTCAAAGGGGCTGTATTTGAGTCCTCAGGGGTATGGATCTGATTCCAGCACTGTAGCTGGGACCCCGTTGTCAAGTCAAGCTGCTTGGGTGTAGGCCTGTGATCTCAAAACAGTTCTCTATGGTCTTGGGCTGCTGCACCAGGGTTGCACAGTCTCCTACCTGGATCCCAACCTCCCATGAGGGAGGCAGTTTTGTCTATGGATGGATGCCAAATTATCATTCAGGAATATGGAAAGGGGATGGCTTATTTCATCATCTTCTGACATCACTCTTCCTTTCTTTCTTATTTGTAATTTTTGAATGATGCTTTTTTATTGCATAATCCAAAGAATTTTATAATTTTCCACATTGAGATCTTATACATCTTTTGCTGAATTAGCTAAACCCTTGAGAATCTTGGATACACATATAATGGTGCAGGCTTTTATATAATATTTTAGTTGTTCATGACTGTTCTAGAGATATGAAATTGATTTTTTATGTTAGTCCAGACATCTATATAAATGCTTCTTTCATTTTTTTTGGAAATAATCATGTTTAATAAACAGTTTAATCCTACACTTAATCCCTTAACTTTAAATTTATTATCACGTTGCTCTTACTAGGTATAATAAAATGGTGAACTGCATTGGGGATAATGGACATTTTGTCTTTTTCCTAATTTTATTTTATTTTATTTTATTATTATTTTTTCTAATTTTAAAGAAAATACGTCTACATATTCCACTTTAGAATTTGTGTTCATTCACTGTTTTTAAAATCATAAAATAGAGTAAAAACTATCAAATATTCTTTTATCTATGAGACAACATTGTTTTTATATTTAATCAACAATAAAAAGTTATCATCTAATTAAGTCAAGTATATTGGAATAAGAAAAATCATCTAAAGAATCCTTAACATTAAAGTAAACAGATAAATTATTTTTATAATAATGAAAACAAAAACAAATCACATGGAAAACTGTGTAAAAGTTTTAAATATGTCATTAAAGTAAAAACAAAAAAATTATTTAATCAAACATTCAACATATGAGATCAGAAACAAAAATGTAATACAACCAGAGATCTTAAGTAAATGAGTTAAAATAATTATGCATACATACAAATGTATATACAGATGTTATATTAATGAATCTAATTAATGAGTATGTATCAAATTTATGAGTTGCAATTTTAGATGCATCTAAGCAAAACAAAACTAGGAAAATAAACCTATGCAACAATTAGATATCACACTATAAACTATCTTAAAAATAACGACCAGAAATTCAAAATTCTGATGGCATGAAGTCAAACCCATGGCAAGTTTAATTAAAGAATATAAATAGGATAAAGTTCTAAAGATTAATAATACAAAGCATAGCTAACCACAGACATTGAAAGAATTAAATTATTGTAAGATGTGATTTTATGTCACTCTACAGCAATAATTTTTCAAATCTAGAGAAGAATAAGGATTTTTCAATCAGTAAACAGGTTGGGAAAATGACCCCAGAATATAAGTAGACAGTAATGAGACCAACAAGCAAATAAGCATGAGTGATACTGGAAATATTATCAAACATTTGTAACTAAGACCCCCATGACAAGATGGTTTTACAGCAACCACATCACATTTATTTATTTTTTATTTAGGAATCATTAGTTTTTGGATGATAGAAGGATATTATTAAGGATATTATTGGTGTAATACTTTGTATCAATTTGTATAATTTAGACAAAGCCAATAATTTACATTGCCATATCACCGTGAGTATGCATTTGCGACAGATTGGACAGTGGCAAGCTTGATTATGATTTGGAGAAAACAAAGAGCATAGAACATTCAGTACTGTCTCTCTCACGTTTCTCCCTCCCCAGACATATAGATGGATATGTAAATATTTACATATATACATTTGTAAATATAAACAATTTATAGATATAATAAACTGCAGGTGTGTATTAATTTAGTATACTGTATTTGTAAGTTGCAACTTTGCATACACCTAAGAAAAATAAAACGTAAAACAGCAAACCTACATGGTAACTAGATATCACACCATGAAATAGTTATGTAGGATTATGAAAAATCTATGTTGATTTTTAAATTCATTCCTAAAGAATCTATTGATGTTATAAAGATAAAATAAACTTTGATCTTCAAAACTTTTAGATGGCTTTACTTGAAACTATTCTATAACAAATTATTGAAAATATTGCTTTTAGTCTAACATACAGTTTTATACATGGCTGGCATCAATGGAAAGATACTCTTCTCAACAATACCCTTTTCACAGCATTTTTCACCTCCTTATTCCTTAGACTATAAATCAGTGGATTCAACATAGGGATGATAAGAGTGTAGAACACAGCTACAATCTTGCTTTTCTCTGGGGAGGAGATGGCCCCAGGCTGGGCGTACATGAAGAACACGGTCCCATAGAACAAACTCACCACAGTGATGTGAGAGCTACAGGTGGAGAAGGTCTTACCCCTGCCGTGGGTGGAGGGGATCTTCAGGACAGTGGAGAGTATGTAAGCATAGGAAACCAGGATGACAGTCGTGGTGGTGACAATGATGAGGGAGGAGAGGATGAACAGCACCATCTCGTTCACAGACGTGTCAACACATGAGATCTTGATCAGGGCTGGGACGTCACAGAAGAAGTGGTCCAGGCGGTTTTCTCCACAGAAACGCAAGCTGAAGGTGAATCCTGTCTGGACCATGGAGTTGATGCCTCCACAGATGTAGGAGCCAATTACTAAGTGAACACAAACCTGTTGAGACATACGGACAGGATAGAGGAACGGCGAGCAAATGGCTGAGAAGCGATCATAGGCCATCACGGCCAGAAGAAAGCCCTCAGTCCCAACACAGAGAGCAAAGAAAAAGAACTGTGCTGCACAGCCGTTGTAGGAAATTTTCTTGTCCTTGGACAAGAAAGTAGCCAGAGCTTTGGGAGCAATGACTGTGGAGTAGCAGAGATCTAAATAGGACAAGTTTCTAAGGAAGAAATACATAGGCCTGTGAAGCCTCGAGTCCATCCTGATGACAATTATCATGCTGCTATTTCCCACCACGATGACCACGTAGACCAGCAAGAAGAATAGGAATAAGAGGATCTGTATGTCTGGAGCAGTTCTGAAGCCCAGCAGAATGAACTCGGTCACTCCTGAGGAATTCCTGCTCAGCTCGCTCTTCATGGCTGAGCTCTATCTGAGAAGATGAGGGGATGATCATGAAGCCCGTGGAATGCCTTTCGACTCCTGAAGTTCTCAGTGAGAGAAAAAGTGCTAAGAGGTGTCCTTGGCAACGTATCTGACAGAAGAGCCTTATTTTTCTAATATATTTAGTGTCCTCATGCTGTGGGGAAAGTAGATGGGCAGGGATGTCTGGGACAGTGATGACATCAGCCACCCTATGCCCTTTGCTCCAAGCTATGGAGTCAGGTGCACTGAGTCTAAACTTTACCTCTTTCAATCCAATAAATCTAAGATAACTACCTGCACTTCCAATGCCTTGAAATCTTCTCTCAGATGGAAGATACTGATAATACCTACATTAGAGGACCACTGTGAGGATAACATGAGAGAGTAGGAAAAGAAACATTTCAGTTACTAGCACACCTTAAAAGCATAATAAATATTAGCCAAATAAATAAATCAGCAAATAGGCACCTAAAAATTATGTTTGCATTCGGAATGGAAACCTGGGTGAAAACACAGGTCATTTCCTTCCCCACCACAAAGGCAGTTAATTTGGTTCTCAAAACATTTCACTATTTAAAAGACATTAAGAGGGATGCCTGGGTGGCTCCGTGGTTGAGCATTTGCCTTTGGCTTGGGTCATGATCCCGGGACCTGGTATGGAGTCCCACGTCGGGCTCCGTGCATGGAGCCTGCTTCACCCTCTGCCTGTGTCTCTGCCTCTCATGAATAAATAAAATAAAATATTTAAAACATAAAAAATAAAAATAAAATAAAAGGCATTAAGGAACATGAGGTCACTGCTTCATGAAGGAGAATGAAGCATCAAAGTCATGTGAAACAGTCAATCAGACTCCTACATGAACATGCTCTGTTCAAACTCTACTTCCTACTTCATCTACTTTGAATCTCTGCTCTCTGATTCTGGTACCTCCACGTCCTTGCTGCAGCCAAACTCCAGCAAGTCTTTTTTCTTTTCCTGTCAAATGCTAACTAAGATCTTAGTTATGGAGATTATTCTGTTTGCATAGAGAGACATATAATGGTTGAAGTACAGGATTAACTTCTCTAACAACAAGAAGTGGTTTCTCTCCCTACATATATTGCTAATTAAATAGAAGACGTTATAAATAGAGCAAAAAATATCAATATTACATAGGTTTGGCTTTTTTCCTTTCTTAAATGACTATCCATCTTAATAACAACAAAAAGACAAAGGAGCACATGGATAAAATATTAATAATTCTAAGTATAAATAATATTTATTATCAGAAAAATTAAATCCATAAAAGAAATTTCATGTTATAATTATGTAGTTCCATTACTTTACTTAATTTCTGAACTGACAAAATTTTGTTATCCTTTCAAGGAACTTATTGAAGTCACATTTTTATTTAGAAATTTTCATAAAATTAGAGTCAGAGGTGAAACTGATTCAGCTTCTGTTACTCTTTTTTGTGTATGTGAAGTCAAAATGTTTTTTTAGTTAAAAGTACGGCATTTCAATTCATATAAATCTGAGTTTTATTCATGTCCTGCCACTCACTGACTGACTAATCTTGGGTAAATTGCTCAAATTCCACAATCCTCAGTTTTCTCATTAGCAAACTGTGTCTTAGGACATTTACCCCACTGGATTGTTGTTATAAGGATTAAATTAAATGACGTGTATAAATTAAATGAAATATGTAACATCTGAGAAGAAAAAAGTGCTCAATAACTAATGGATCTATGAAAGATTGAACAGAAAAAAGAATGTTTGCTAAACTGAGAAAAATGGTCTTCAAAAAAAGTTGATTTTCAAAAACCATGTACCTTACTTGAGATCCAGCAGATTCCAAAGCATCACTGAAGAATGTTAATAGCCGATTGTTCCAAAAACAAAAAACAAAAAAAAAAATAGCCCATTGTTCCTTTAAAGGAAGCTTGGAGGAAAGTGTAGTTAATTATAAAAATGCTTCATAGTCTATGTTAGACTTGTTCTACTGAGTACACTCAATCAGTAGACTTTTTTATTTCTAAGTCTCATGTACCTCATTTTTACTTATTTGAACCAAAAGAGAATCTTAGTTTGAGTCTTCAGTTGGAAACTCAAGAAATATCTTACTCTTTATGGTCTGCAAAGACTGAATACAAAAACAAAACAAAACAAAAAACAAAAAGCGTTTTCTGCCATAAGTTTCATCTAGCCACATAGTTTATTCTTAAACCCAAGATGGGAGATTAGAAATACATATATGTAAATGCATAATGTTTATGAAAAGTAAAAAGGCCCAGGAGGTCAATTAGGTCAGGTTTTGCCAAACTTCCCCCTACCTCAGAGTCAGCTGGGGAGGCTTTGTTTTGCTCTGCTTTTAATGCTGACTCTTGGACCACATCTCATTCTTAATTCAGCTGAATATTGAAAATTATCTAGTAGTGAGATGAGTGTGGAGAAACAGTTGTTTATATTTTAAGATTTCCATCTGACTAAAAAAAAAGAATCAGTCCCCATGTAGAAGTTTGAGAATCAGTGAATTTGGTCTTCTTCTTACTTCCTGGAAGAATAGTGATTTTCTCCATCAAAGTCAATCGAAATTATGATTAATTATACTGTTTCTTCTAAAAGTACACTTTTGACCCTTCGTTGCATTGTTTTACAAATACTACCCCCAAGAATTTCTATCTTTAACCAAAACAAATATGTAATAAATACAACCCATTTCTTGCTTTTCTGATGCAATGGATATTTAAAGTACATTACTACAGGCTTATTTAAACCAAGTTCACTTCCAAGGTATTCCTTTACTTTCTTTACATTTCCACTCTATATATACATCTACTTTTATTTTGAGTTCTAAAAGACCATTTAAATAATGCCATAAACATAGAAAATATATTTTATATATAGTAAAATGTCTTGGTCTGGAATATTTGAAGAAGCTCTGAGATTTTATGAAACTTCAATAATGTTAAATAAAATTCTACAATTTAAATGACATATGTTTAATGATTTATATCAAATTCTAAAAACAACTCCTAATCTAAAATTATTAGCAATAAAAGTTACAAGTGAGGGGCACCTGGGTGGCTCAGTGGTTGAGTGCCTGCCTTTGGCTCAGGTCCTGATCCTGGATTCCTGGGATCGAGTCCCACATCAGGCTCCCTGTGGGAGCCTGCTTCTCCCTCTGCCTGTGTCTCTGCCTCTCTCTGTGTCTCTCATGAATAAATAAATTCAAATAAATAAATAAATAAATAAATAAATAAATAAATAAATATTACAAGTGGTACACCTACAAGTCAAGAATAATTGAAAAATGAAAGCAAAGAACACATGTGAGTTTTTTTACCCTACATAGTTGCAAATTAATTTTTAATATGCATTATTCAGTTAATATCAACATAATACATGGTAAATGTCAGATTAAATTTATTTTTCCTTTTTATACATTTGTTGTGTATATAAAATCATATTTTATAAAATACCTTATAATAGCTACCAACTATTTTAAAATTCAATAACACTCCTACTATACTGATGTAATTATACTTGAGTATTCTTGCATAATATACTTATTATCTCAGGGATCCCTGGGTGGCGCAGTGGTTTGGCGCCTGTCTTTGGCCCAGGGCGTGATCCTGGAGACCCGGGATCGAATCCCACGTCGGCTCCCTGCATGGAGCCTGCTTCTCCCTCTGCCTGTGTCTCTGCCTCTCTTCTCTCTCTCTCTCTGTGACTATCATAAAATAAATAAAAATAAAAAATAAAATATATATATATACTTATTATCTCAAACTGTTCTCATTTTGACTTTTTACTTAAATCTATTAATTTTGGGGTGTATATTCAACTCTACTAGTACTCATAATCTCTCCTCAATGCCAGGTATCAAACATATTTAAATTTCTTATATTTGCATATACTGTTCACAATCCCCATGTTTAAAAAATTTTTCCAATCACATATGTTCCTCATTTGGAAACTATAGACATAACAATAGTATCTTCTCATAGAGTTGCTGTGTGGATTAAATAAATTAAAATATGTAAAACACAGCCATATATATATGCAAGGTATCATTATTATTAAATCTCACAAATACTATAAAATGTTAAGGTAAAATTTCAATAGCAGCAGCAACATGATATTACACTAAGAATATTCAGTAACAAGAAAAAATAAAGAACATAAAAGAGCCTGCCCATGAAAGAGGAAAGCTGTAATCCTTTGCAGCAAAACAAATTTTAAAATAAACTCTGTTGGTTTGAAGAAAGTAAACTATTATTGAGGCCTGAAGATGTCTGTCTTCCTAAAGTACAGGAGTGGCAGAGTGGGATAATAAATGTAGTTTTACTGTCCAGAAAAGAGGATAACAGCACTGATGGGGTAAAAAGTTTCAATGCATGAACTTGAACATGGAGATTTACGTTGTTGTTCTTTTTTTTTTTTAAAGCATGTGACTGACTCCTGCTGCAGTGGTTCCTTGAAAAGAAACAAGGAATCATTCCTGGTCTATGAATGATGGACACCCAAATCATTTGTGACATAGAATCAAAGAGAATTCTTGAGTTTGGAATACAAAATTTTGAGAACTAAGAGAAGTGGTCTTAAGAATTCAAAGTGCCATCTCCAAAAGAATGTGGCCTTCAGAAAGGGAGACTATTATTTTTATTTTTATTTATTTATTTATTTATTTTTTTGAGACTATACTTTTTAAAAAGGAACAGAATTATATAACTTTCTTCCCTGAACATCATGCAGCCTGTGCAGGCAGCTTCATCAAGAGTAGAATAGTTTTATCCACAGGAAATTGATTTTAATCCACAGGACTCTTCAATGTTCAACGAGAAGCAATGGGTACATTGCCCATACCTTTGGGAACCCCTGGTTAAACTGATAATTAAAAAAAAAAAGACATCCTAACGAAAACTACAGTATTCCTGCTACTCAGATCGACAGTTGACAAAGAAGTTTAACCTACTTGGAAAATAAAAGAGAAATGCCTAGACCTCTGATT